ATTTTCTAAGCAAGCAGATCCAGGAATTAATATTTATTTTAGAAAATCATGTATGGGACTCAATGATAAGAAGCAGAGAATATTAACATTGCCCCAAACCCACAGAGACACAAGTGTAGTGAAGTAATAAATATTTGACTCCCACTAAGTAGACAGTTTTGACAACCACAAATTATAAGTCAGAAGGGATCACTTCTGTTTACAAACATGTGATATCAAGCTTAAAGAGGTCGGTCAGTGGTAATAGTAGCAGGCACAGATACCATTTAGTATGATTGATATGACAAATTATTTTGTTGTTAAGTTCGTGAGGATTTGCAGTTTGTCATGTTTCATGTCATGGACGCCTGGGTGTGTTGTCTATGACAGTATACCAAGCCATCTTGTCAGACAGAAGTTGGTACATAAGATGATATTAACCCATTTTGCAGGTATAAGAACAAGGATGGTTCTTTAATAATCCAACACCGAAGCATGCCACAACCAGCTCTTACTGTGTTTAACTCTAAGCATGTTCCTGCAGCTTAGGATAATTAATGATGTTGACCAGTGAAAGAAGTCGAAATGTTTTAGATTGGTCTAGAAAGTTTTTTTATATTTTGTGTTGCCAGGCGCCCAAGTAGCTGCAATACAATGTAGATAACCAGGTGATAACAGCTGATAACAGCTGGTGGTTCCAGGCTTAGTAAGATACCCTTATTATCCAAGCCAAAGATTCCTTTTTTCAGGACTACAATATCGTTTATTCTAAAACATACTCATGTTGTATGAATGTACCATGAAAAGGCTCCCAGATTTGCTGACTTGGTTAAATAAACAAATACTTGTGTTTTCGGGGGAAATCATATATTTTACTTTGGACCTGGAAATTGTATTTATGTTCAGATAGGTATCAAGAAAACTTGTCATAGTATTTAGAAAGTGTTTTTAAATGTTGCATCTAATATATGTCTATTGACTGAAAAGTGATAAATCCACAGATACGGGAGAATAGGGAAAAGCTTGTTCTATCCATTAGGAAGCAACCATATGATTTTCTGTAGTATTGGACCCGTGAAGGTCCGGGTCTATTAGAATAGCCCTTCAGCAACCCATGCTTGCTATAAAAGGCGACTATGCTTGTCGTAAAAGGCGACTAACGGGATCGGGTGGTCAGGCTCGCTGACTTGGTTGACACATGTCATCGGTTCCCCATTGCGCATATCGATGCTCATGCTGTTGATCACTGGATTGTCTGGTCCAGACTCGATTATTTACACACCGCCGCCATATAGCTGGAATATTGCTGAGTGCGGCGTAAAACTCAACTCACTCACTCACTCTGTAGTATTGGATTAGATTAAATATTTTTTCAGACACCTTCCAAAACAGTTGTTTATGTAAAGGATAAAACATGACTCCGAGGTCTTGGTCGGGATTGTAAAACCTGAGAGCAGCAGGGATGGAGCTTGTAAAACCGAGGGTGAAGCTTGAGGTTTTACAAGCTCCGTCCCTGCTGCTCGAGGGTTTTACAATCCCGACCAAGACTGAGGGGGGCTGTTTTATCCGACTATTGAACCGCCATGAATGTAAAACACAAATATATATTATTTTCAATTTGTGCATGTACTGAGCAGAACAACACTGACGGAACAGCCCGCAAATGATGGAACAGCCGGTGTCAACTGGGATGCGACTGGCAGCCAACACCTTGCCCCGCACGCGCAATCCGTGTCCTGCACGCGCTACCCGTGCCCTGCACGTGCGCTGCCCGCAGTACCTGTCGTGTGAGAAACACATGGTTCATACTGACAAACAATCTCATTCCTCACAGCGATCCTTCGTAGCGTAGTGGATAAAACCGCCAAGCTAGAGAGCGATGGGTTGCGGGTTCGAAACCAGTTATGGCCAAAGAATATTGGAAGTTTTCAATAATTAGATATTTTACGATCAGTCATCAGGGTATGAGGTTTTACAACGACCATTGTAAAACTTCGTACCTCGTATGAGGTATTACAACGGTCATTGTAAAACCTCCTGCGAGGTATTACAATGATCATTGTAAAACCTCCTGCAATCGTAAAACCTCTACCGAGGTTATTCCATAATGCGAAGCAACTGCAAGAACAATAGACAAAATTGGCCATAGGTTTATAAATGAGGTTTCGAAATGTGTACTTCAAAACCTGGGTTTAGAATTGATAAGTGCAAAGTCACGGCAGAGGTCTACCTGATTCTGGAAGGAACCTACATTACTGCAATAATTAATGAAAACTGCCTGAATATGTTTTATCAGATTAAACACCATGCAACAATTTCTTTTTGTCAACTGTATGAAGCATTGTTATCATTTTTTGTCAAGGAATAAAAAAATAGTTATATATATTGTTATGGAATAGAAAATACAATCAGTCCCCCTAATTCATTTTCCCCTCCAATCTCCATAATCACAACTTGTCAGTTACTTACTGGTAGAAACAAGTTCAGATTTATTTCTAAGAAAGAGAATGAAAGTTTCCCGAGAATACTCGTTTAGAACCAGTGAAGCAGGACTTGTCTTGATAAATGATGAACTAGATTCAATTTGACCTTGAACTTCCAAGTTTTTTTCAGGTGTACCCATTTGCGTTGGACTTTTCTGTATTTGATGCAGAGTATCTTGTGTTGTTGCTTTGTACAGATGCAGACAGCAAGCAGTATGGCCCGTTTAACATGAATCACCTCTACCAAACTGTAGCTTCAATGGAAGAAGTGAGAAATAAATGGAAGAAAGCTTTAACTTAAAATCATGATAAATATTAAACAGAGTGTAAAGAAAGTTAACTGTGTGATTAAATGCAGATATATTAATCAGCTTACACTGCATTTTGAGCATTTATGCTGTGGACTCGGTGTATCATACTTATTGTGCTAGATTCTGTGTTAATTTGTCCTTGTTTGTCTGTATCATCTTGCATCTGTAGCAGGATGTTAGTGTCATCCTTGAGAGACCTGATGATATTAAAGCCTCTATCAGTACTGATGTGAGTTGTCGTTGTTTAGGCCTTTAACACTGATTTGAGTGACTGAGTGAGTTTAATTTTACACTGACGTTAGCAACATCACAGCAGGAGACACCAGAAATGGGATTCACACAAAGTACCCACGTAGGGAATCGAACCTGGGTCTTCAATGCATCGAGCGAGTTCTTTAACACCTAGGCTAGCTGCCCCTCCTCCCCCCCCCATCTTTTAAAGATTAGGTACCACCTGATTGGTTCATGTTATTAATGTCATGCCATGACAATTGAAGATAGTGATATGAAGGAACTGTGTGGTTCTTTACTGTCTGTAAGTATGTTGTATGATTTAACTTAACAACCTAACTTGTTATAATCTGTTATTTCAGATATGTGAGTGGATTATTCTTCATGAAAGGAAATGTTTGTAATTATACCTCATTATCTGTTATTAATATTGCAAATTGTAGTTATTACCGTGTGTAAACAAACTCATGGCGGGTTCAGATACACAATTTACTGGTGTTTTCAAGCCTTAGTTCACAACTATGTTACATGCTAGGCGTGAAGCGGCAACACAACATAACTCCTGTAACCATCCCAATGAAAACATGTACAAAGTAAGTAATGGTATATCCGTACATCAAATTAAAGCAAATTAGGACTTGATTTATATGTAACTGAGCTCTAATTCAAATTCTATTGGTTAATTTCATAAAAGTGAGACTATGTATCAGTATCTGTTTCAATATTATGTTGTTATAATTCAGTGTTATTAAAATCTAATGTCTTTTACAGTTTTCATGGGGCAGTGGGGTAGCCTAGTGGTTAAAGCATTCGCTTGTCACACTGAGGACCCGGGTTCGATTCCCCACATGGGTACAATGTGTGAAGCCCATTACTGGTGTCCCCAACCGTGATATTGCTGGAATATTGCTAAAAGCAGCGTAAAACCAAACTCACTCACTACAGTTTTTGTTTTGTAGTTCCACTGCCTTGTCCAATTCTATATGAACATGATGAAGTAACAGACCCTAATAGACAAACAATGGACCCTTTCATGTTTTAATGCCTTAAAGATTGAGCTAGATTAAAGTAATACATGGAGAATGTCAGTTTACAAAGGGATACTAGCCATAAAGTTTCAAATGACATGTTGTATTTTGATTGACAATTAGATCCCATGTTGGTGGATCTCCGCCAACCTGTTACACTCAATGCGGGTATATATTATCATTATTATTAACTTCATCAAAAATGTCTCATAACAATGAATATGGTAATTGTTCCATCCCAATAATCTGACTGCATACTAAATATGTGTCAGACCAACTCTGATAATTTGTCTCATAATTTTGGACACCCGGAAAAAAAAGTTGTTTAACAAACGATCATTATTTTGTTGTCACTTTTCGCTATTTTTTATGAGGGGGGACCACTTGCTGGTAGAACACCCAGGTAATCAACAAGTGTGTGTAGTGAAATTGAAATTCACACACCTGGCTGTTCCACCAACAAGTGGTTCCCCCTCATACAAAATAGCGAAAAGTGACAACAACATAATGATCGTTTGTTTAACAACTATTTTTTCTGGCGTCCAAAATTATGAGACAAATTATCAGAGTTGGTCTGTCGATTTCATGTGACTGTGCAAAATTTGGTTTTGTTGCAATTATTAGATTTTGTGTTAGTGAGCAATTCATCGGTCTCAAATGAAATCAAACAGACTATACTTAATGTTCATAGCAGTGAATACTTATATGTCAACACATACAATGATGCCAGTCTAAATCTGTTTCTCCTGTCAGTATTCATACAAAGTTGGTGAGGATTCAAGACTGACAATGACAGTGGGACACTTTAACGCTTTTATGAATAGATACAACACAGGCCCTGACTCAGCTGCAGGTTTAGAAAGGGAGTCTCGTGACAGTATCATGAACAACTGTTCTCACAAGGAAGGATATTATGTACAGCTATTATTAAACTGGAAATTACGTGTGTCTAAAATATCCTGACCCGACATGGAGATGACACAGGCTTAAATAGCAGTGGACCGTGTTAAATGTGAGCTCTTCAGCTGCTGTACACTGTGTGATTTGCGTTGGACTTTCTGTATTTGATGTGGAGTATCTTGTGTTGTTGCTTTGTCCAGGTACTGATGTATTACCAGTCCAGGTACTGATGTGATACCTGTCCAGGTATTGATGTATTACCTGTGCAGGTACTGATGTGATAGCTGTCAAGGTATTGATGTATTACCTCTGATATTCAGATACCTGACCAGGTGTGTGATAAGCTGTGTAGAGAGACTGGCTCTTGCCGAGGATTATTTTGAAACGATATTTAACCACTGTTTGACAGATTACACATGGTTAGATGTGGAAACATTCTGTCAGCCTCCATAAACAACTGAAGGAAGACTTGATTGAACTGAAGATGTTGAATGTGGAACTGAAATGTGCTTTTTGTTAAAACTTAATTTGTGAGAGATAAACTTCAACTGAAAAAGTAAACAAAACAGGAATGGCGGCCACAGTGAAAGTAACGTCTTCACAACCTGGAAGACCAACTGTGGTTAGTTAAACTGAATATTAGATCGAGTTGGAACCTATAATGGATGTATTGTATCGAAGTGTCAGAGAAATTGGAAATGCAAGAGGAATTCCTAAAGAGGTAGGAATGGACACGACCATAAGTAATCAGACAGAATTGTATTCTGGCAAATATGATTAGGTCAATACAAAGGGAAGATATACATCTGACTGTTTGGTCAGAGATATTTTCCAGTTGCATGTTATTTATTACTTTAAAAATAGCAGTTTTCTGTGTAGGATGATGTATGCAGGTGCATCAAACTGGTGCTTTCTAACTGATGACTTTATACACATCAAACTGGTGCTTTCTAACTGATGACTTAGATAACCAAGCATGTGACTGGTGCTTTCTAACTTAGTCATCTTTGACTAAAGTCATCAGTTAGAAAGCACCAGTTTGATGTGTATAAAGTCATCAGTTAGAAAGCACCAGTTTGATGTGTATAAAGTCATCAGTTAGAAAGCACCAGTTTGATGTGTATAAAGTCATCAGTTAGAAAGCACCAGTTTGATGTGTATAAAGTCATCAGTTAGAAAGCACCTGTTTGATGTGTATAAAGTCATCAGTTAGATGCACCAGTTTGATGTGTATAAAGTCATCAGTTAGAAAGCACCAGTTTGATGTGTATAAAGTCATCAGTTAGATGCACCAGTTTGATGTGTATAAAGTCATCAGTTAGATGCACCAGTTTGATGTGTATAAAGTCATCAGTTAGAAAGCACCAGTTTGATGTGTATAAAGTCATCAGTTAGAAAGCACCAGTTTGATGTGTATAAAGTCATCAGTTAGAAAGCACCAGTTTGATGTGTATAAAGTCATCAGTTAGATGCACCAGTTTGATGTGTATAAAGTCATCAGTTAGAAAGCACCAGTTTGATGTGTATAAAGTCATCAGTTAGAAAGCACCAGTTTGATGTGTATAAAGTCATCAGTTAGAAAGCACCAGTTTGATGTGTATAAAGTCATCAGTTAGAAAGCACCAGTTTGATGTGTATAAAGTCATCAGTTAGAAAGCACCAGTTTGATGTGTATAAAGTCATCAGTTAGAAAGCACCTGTTTGATGTGTATAAAGTCATCAGTTAGATGCACCAGTTTGATGTGTATAAAGTCATCAGTTAGAAAGCACCAGTTTGATGTGTATAAAGTCATCAGTTAGATGCACCAGTTTGATGTGTATAAAGTCATCAGTTAGAAAGCACCAGTTTGATGTGTATAAAGTCATCAGTTAGAAAGCACCAGTTTGATGTGTATAAAGTCATCAGTTAGAAAGCACCAGTTTGATGTGTATAAAGTCATCAGTTAGAAAGCACCAGTTTGATGTGTATAAAGTCATCAGAAAGCACCAGTTTGATGTGTATAAAGTCATCAGTTAGAAAGCACCAGTTTGATGTGTATAAAGTCATCAGTTAGAAAGCACCAGTTTGATGTGTATAAAGTCATCAGTTAGATGCACCAGTTTGATGTGTATAAAGTCATCAGTTAGATAGCACCAGTTTGATGTGTATAAAGTCATCAGTTAGAAAGCACAGGTTTAGGAAGAGATTGTGATGTAATGTGATTATGTGTAAGGTGGGTGTGATGTAATGATTGTGTGTAATTTGGGTGTGATGTAATGATTGTGTGTAATGTGCTTGAGATGTAATATAATTTTGATTCAGTGTGTAATATGAATGTGTTATATAATTGTGATTTCATGTGATTGTCTGAGTGACTGTGTGTTGTGATTGTGTGTAATATGATTGTGTGTAATATGATTGTGTAAGGTGATTGTGATGCAATGCAACTGTGCGTAATGGGATTGTGTGTAATGTTGATAGTGATACAATGTGATTGTGATACAATATGATTGTGTGTGAAGGGATTGTGAGTAACATGATTGTATGTAATTGTGAGTGTATGAAGGACAGAAATGATCCAATATGCAATGTATACTGACACTTCAGTCTTGTAGGGTGGATTAGGATCAAGATGACCTTGAAAGTTAGGGTGTCAGTTTGCTTCTCTGAAACAGAAAGGTGGAGGGTTAAATGTTTAAGCAATGTCATGTTTCTGAAAGCCAGCAGGTCAAGGGAATAGATATAAATGTGTTTTTACTGTGACAGAGCATCCCATTACCTTGAGAGAGATGTCATTGTTACTGTGTGAGGGGGGAACATTCCATGTGAAACTGAAAAGAGAAGTATATGTATCTGCAGTCCAACTTCGTCCAGTCCAGCTCTGTTCCCCAACCGTGTTATACCAAAAAGACGTTAAAATATGGTACTTGTTGGTCCCTGCCTGGCGCTCGGCATTATGGGTACAGCAAGGACTGGTCGGCTCGGAGTCAGTATAATGTGTCTGAGTGGGGTATTCATGCTTCACTGCGGCATGGTATCTCAGTGGGCTAGCACTATAAAACCAGCTTCAGTCTGGGCTAGTACAAGCAGCCGCACATACACATATACATGCATGCACGTCGTCATATGAGCGAAATATTCTCAAGCACAACATAAAACCCAATTTCACCTCACCTCACCAGTCCAGCTCTGCTCTCTACAGGTTACGAGGATCACAGTTATGCCTATAATGAAGTTGAGGTTTACATTTTTTTAAATATTCAGTGTTTTGTTTTACTCTGTCGTACTGTCAACTTTAAAATCATAGACATGATGTAAGTTTATACATGATGTATCCTCTTTAGTTTATATTAGGTCTATACATCACAACAATCATTGTCATCCTCTTAGAGTTTGCTTGGAGACATAGACATGGGGGTCAGACTATCAAAAGCCAGATATGAAATCAATTAGTATATTTCAAGCAGAATGTTAATGTTTTTATGTGTTGTTACTAGGGAGATATTCTTCACTTGTAGACCTGTGAAGATCCATGTTAGAACTGATCTTCAGTAACCCATGCTTGTTGTAAGAGGCGACTAACAGGATCGGGTGGTCAGGCTTGCTGACTAGATTGACACAAGTCATCATATCCCAATTACGCAGATCGATGCTCATGCTGTTTATCACTGGATTATCTGGTCCAGATTTGATTATTTATAGACTGCTGCCATATAGCTGGAATATTGCTGAGTTCGGCATAAAACAAAAATCACTCACTCACTCATTCTTCTCTTGTAGACTGTGGGTATAGCAGAGTAATTCTTCCTGACACACTGTGGGTATTGGATAAGTGTATTTCTTCCTGACACACTGTGGGTATTGGATAAGTGTATTTCTTCCTGACACACTGTGGGTATTGGATAAGTATATTTCTTCCTGACACACTGTGGGTACTGGATAAGTGTATTTCTTCCTGACACACTGTGGGTACGGGATAAGTATATTTCTTCCTGACACACTGTGGGTACTGGATAAGTGTATTTCTTCCTGACACACTGTGGGTACTGGATAAGTGTATTTCTTCCTGACACACTGTGGGTATTGGATAAGTGTATTTCTTCCTGACACTAATAGCAGAGTATTTCTTCCTGACACACTGTGGGTATAGCAGAGTATTTCTTCCTGACAGACTGTGGGTATTGGATAAGTATATTTCACTGGTCACTGGTACTGTGGAAGTGTATAAGTATTTTCCCATACTTTCTCTTTCATTCACATACTTTCTCTTTCTGTGACTGGCACCCCCGATGTATTGAATCTGTTCTCACAAGTCCATCATGACTGTGGCACATTTCTCATGACTTGTTGGCACTGCTGTGTCTATATTAACTTATATATAGCCACCTCATTGGACATTTTGATATGTGCTATGGCATATCGTAGCCTGGTTTAAACAACATGTATTCATTGCTGACAGTGAAGATGTTTGGTTTCATTTGCCTATATATGTAACTTGGGTAATTATGTAGGGTTCAGCTTTCTGCATCAATCTGTGTTTCTGTCAGCTTCTGTTTCTTTTGAAGCATGTACAAGAGTTGGTAATGTAGGCCAACTCTGAAACATGGGCTGTAAATGGGGATGATTAAAGGTGTAGTCACTGTGATCCCCCAGGTGATCATGTTCTGTGTAGAGTGAGTGAGAGTAAGTGAGTTTAGTTTTATGCTACTTTTAGCAATATTCCAGCAATATCACATCAGGGGACACTAGAAATGGGCTTCACACATTCCACCCATGTGGGAATCAAACCCAGGTCTTTGTTGTGACGAGTAAACACTTTAACCACTAGGCTACCCCACCGTCCCAACATGGAAGTAATCAGTCAGTGTTTTTGTCATTTCATGGATAGTTTCATCACCACCACCACCATCATTATCATCATCATCATCGACATAAGGGGCGGTGGGGTAGCATAGTGGTTAAAGAGTTCGTTCGTCACGCTGAAGACCCGGGTTCGATTCCCCACATGGGTACAATATGTGAAGCCTATTTCTGGTGTCCCCCGCCGTGATATAGCTGGAATATTGCTAAAAGCGGCGTAAAACTAAACTCACTCACTCACTCATCGACATAATTACCACTGCCTCAAGTAATCAGGGAAATACCTGGTCGTCCTGACAACAGGATACAAAAATGGACAAGCACAATCACATAGGTCATGATTGCAGTGAGAAGCAGATACAGAGCGTTATGCACTGGGGAATGCGGCCAATCAAGCTGTGAACACCTGCCATGATTATGAAATATATACGCACAGGTTGTGCTGTGCCTTACATAAAACTTATCATATTACATGAATCAGATGATTGCATGTTTGCCTCAAAATTTAAAGGTTCTTGTTCCAAATGAACTTACTATTGAAAATTGAAGAAACAAAATTACAACTGGTGATCGCAGCTGATTGCCTAATCTATACCGCAGTAAACCTCAACAGGTGAGTGAGTGTGTGAGTTTGGTTTTACGCCGCTTTTAGCAATATTCCAGCAATATCATGACGGGACACCCGGAAATGGGCTTCACACATTGTACCCATCTGGGGAATTGAACCTGGTTTGTCGGCATGACGAGTGAATGCTTCATCACTAGGCTACCCCACTGCCCCATCAACAGGTAAACAACAACAGGTGTGACTTTAGAGTGATTTGTGAAGCCATGAGTTTGTTCATGGTATTGTGTGTTTTCCCAATACGTTATTTCACACTAATATTCCAGCCCTGGAA